TCTCTCTCTCTCTCGTATATAAAATAAATTTCATTTCATTTTAGGTCTATTATATACCTCTTGTGTGAAGATTCTGAGGCATTCAATCCCTCGTATGGTTGACGCGAGTAATACAAGTGAACTGATCCTCGACTGTGAGTACGTATACGACGCCAACGATCTAATGCTTGTCGTCAAATGGTTTCACAACAATTCACCCGAACCTATATATCAGTGGATTCCCGACCGGGGGGTCAGATATGTGGGCGAACTCTTGAGACAACGGTTTGATATGAACTTTTCGGTCAATCCCAACGATATATACTCCAAATTCCGAGCCCTTAAACTCCGAAACAACATTACCGTCGATCTGAACGGCAACTTCTCGTGTGTCGTCACATCACTGGCCGGTCAGGACGGAAGACAGGGACAAATGGTTGTTTATGGTGAGCCCATACATACACACACCACATGTTTATCCCATAATTGTCTCATAAATAAAATTCCCAATGGATTCACATATTCTCTTAAAGAATATACAGTGCTTTTAAAATATTAGTCTATTTTCTTGCCTATTATTTGTCTCAATAAAGTACATAATACGATACCACAAATCCAGGGCTGGTGTTTAGGGGTAAACATCACAAATTTATTGCAATTTAAAGTACGAGCTATAAGTTATCTGTACTAACAATATGCTCGCTTTAAGTTAGGATTTAAGCAAAATTTATGAATATATTTTAATTTAAAACATAAATTTATTTATTTATATAAAGCATATATTGTATGAGACTTAGAGAGTTATATCGACACAACCCATGGATATACCAAACTATGGATTACTATCCATGAGATAACTTTTGTAACGTTTTTTTCATTTAAAATATTGTCTTCTCCTTCCCATCCAATGCTATAATAGTTTTTCTTAGAATTAATTATTTTTCTCTTTTATTTTATTCTTCCGTTTTATTTATTTTTATATATATTTTCTTAAAGTTTTATTTTCTCTAAAACTACTTTATATTCAAAGCATTGCTTTTTATTTGTGAAAAATGATACTTAGTTTCTATCCATTGGTTTTAAAAAATAAAAACTTTTTTTTAACAATTCATATAATTCTTTACTGAAAACTTTTTATCAGAAAAACTTTGTAATATAAGAGAAAGAATGCATTTAAAAACTTGTATTGTTTTATTGAGTTTTACATTTCATTGAATTATGTTTGAAATCAATTTCTGAGTGAATGCTATCCTTTATCTTATATTTGTTTTCTCTTCAAAACCCGTATATTATACCCAAACTTTATATTTAAAAACAAATAAATTCTTATACAATATTCCGACTGAATATTAAATGTGATTTATATATTCCACTCGTATTCAAAGCCCTTATATTAAAAACAACATAATATATGCCAATAACAAACTGAATATCAATACATTCATACATTTGCTGTTCAAATACGCCAACAGTTCCGCCGCAAACATTTGATTTCAATTACACTGAAGTAACCAAAGGTGACCGCGAGCTCGAGTGTCAGGCCAAAGGTGTATATCCGCGGCCTTTACTCACTCTATCGGAGCAAACGACCACCAGCTCTAACTTTCATGTCTTTCCCAAAGTCAATGTCACAACTCATCAAAATTCCGGTACAAATATTTTCACGAATTTCTGCTCGTTTTTTGTATTGCCTTTCCATCGCTTGTCAAATGTATTTCTCGTTTTAATGTTGTGTTTTTTGTTATGTAATGGAAAGCAACGCATAAAGCGGGCGAAAGAAATATACATTTTCTTTAAATTACTGTTATTTTGAATATATTTTGCTTTTATTTTTTTAGACACACAGTATTTTTCAGCCACACTCCGACATACGCCACACCAGTCCTCACATACGGGCACTATATTTGAATGCAAACTAGAAATCCCTCAAACAAATTACATCAGAAGGAAGAGAATCAGAATCTTCTTCCCGTCGAGTAAGTCATCTCAAGTCATGTCAACATTTTTCCTCCACTTTTTCTTCTTCTTCTCCTTCTCTCTAACGAAAGAACAGAAAAAACGCTTCGATAGACAAAATCAAATTAGCTCTTATGTGCTCTCTCTCTCTCTCTCTCTCTCTCTCATTCCTTATAAAACAAATAATTTAATATAAAATAGTGTTTTTACGTGTATTTGCCTTTTATGATGATTTCAAAATATTTTTAGCTATAATCTGCACACTTTTTTTGATGCATATAATAGCAAAACCATTGCTTAAAAAAGTGTTTGCTTTCAATATTATGAATGCATTAAATGTGCAAAAACTGAAAATATTCTCACTTTTGTGATTATGGTATAAATTTATATCGAGAAAATGCTTTCACTCAGCGTTTTATATATAATATTTAGTCTTTTATTGCAAATTATTCTCTCTATTCATGAATATTAAACATATTTCTCGCATTTCTTCATGAATTGCACAAATCGTAACGCATTTGAAATATTTTATAATATTTGTCGTTAATTTCCTTTCCATTGCATGTGTTAATGGTTTTTATATATGAAATATAATTACTATTATTAAGAAATGTGTGAAAATAATTTTTCAAAAAATCCCTTCCCATGTGTCACACACTTTCACTGCTTATAATTGATTAACATTTTGCAGTAATAATTTAGTTAATTATCATATTTGAAATTAATGGTATATTTTTTAATTATTTAAATTTATCTTATTAAAATATTTCTTTTATAGAAATGAACACAATTTAATCTACAATTGTATTGATTAGTATTTTTAAATTATATTTAGAAAATTATCAAATTATTCGATATATTAAGACACTTATAATTTTTCTTATTATAAAATACATAAATAAGAAAATAATTTATAAATTATTACTATATAAATTTTTAAAAACTTATGATTTAACTCTGGAGTAAATTAAAATCAATGGCAGAGAATTTGTTAAGTAAAGCAAGAAAATGCAAATGAATAAAAAGGTAAATTAATTGTATAATTTTAATTTGAATACAAAAATATATGGTTTTTACTTAAAATTAATGCTAATTTAGTGTCTAAAAGAGTATTGAGGACAAGAAGTTAATAAATATAGAAATACTTTACAGAAAACAGTGTTTCTTAATAGTGACGAGTAATTAATGAGTTAACAAATTGCCTTAAATCTCATTAAATGGGCTTTTCTTTCGCAGTTTTGTTTCACTCTTTCTCTGATTTTTATTGTCTTTTTCTGTGTATTCTTTTGATTAAAAAATCGATTTAATTATATGTTCTTCTGTTTGCAAAAGAGTCAAAATGAGTGAAGTTTTGTTCATATATTGTTGCCATTCGTGTGTAAATTCTGTGAGAAATTTTCTGTATTGAAACAAACGAAAAATACTTCATTATATCGTAAATTGTAATAAAATATTTTTAGTAATTTCTCGCATACTTTCCCTTTATTCTGTTGTTTACTCCAAACGCTCAAAGTCTGGAAGTGATGGGAAGTTTGAAGTAGAAGAGAGAGAGAGAGAGAGAGAGAGAGAGAGAGAGAGAGAGAGTATGTAATAATGAAATTATTTGATTTAATAATAATTCAAATTCAGTTTTAGTAAATTTACATGAATTTCATTTTATTAGCGCTTGTTTTTTACTATAAGTGTTGCGTAAAAATTGTTTTTCTCTTGTCATTAAAGAGTGTTTCAAAACAATGTCTAATAAAATATTAGATTATGAGTTGAGTTACGCCTAAAATCAATTGCTAACTAAAAAAGAGCAAAAAATATTCCGTTATTTTCAACGCATTTCATTTGTTAGCGCAAAGATTTGCATAGTTTTTAACAACAGTTATGGGTTTAGTAATAAAAATGTTTGACACAAATATTACGATCCATTGAATATACAACAAGAGAAGAAGTGGAGGGATATGTATATTGTATGCAAACTAATGGCTCATATAAAAAGCCAAATGACTCCCCATTTAGTCTTCCTTTTTATAAAAGACTTTATATTCTGTTTCTATTCATAAATCTCTTTGTGCTCTCAATTGTCAGGTTATGTCTCGTCGGACGGATCGTCGGCCCCGAGTCTGATGTCTAGTTCGCAATCAATCGCTTCACTAATGACTCTATTATTGTCGCAAATTATCGTTATATTTGTCGATAAAATGCATATAATTTTCTAAATAAAACACACTTTTCTTCACACCTTAAAAGCAATGATGTCCTGAAAAAAAACACACATTTAGTGATGAAAATAATAATATTAATAATAATGGAAATGATTTGTTGGACCGGAAAACCGTATATAAGATGAAATAATTTATCAATAATTTTATACAGTATTACCAGAAAAAGATGGAGAAGAAGTGGAGATAAATGAATGAATACAAGTGTTAAGTGCTTTTATATATACATTATTAATAAAAACATTTTTCTTTCTTATCATTCAATGAATGGTATAATGAATGTGTATTTTAATGATAATTAACGGCTTTTTTGTTAATGTATTAGTTATATAAATGTCGATAAAAAACACTGAATTTTATAAACATTGTTGAAATCAAAGCATTTTTTTCATACGAAGAAAATTTTCTGTAAATAAAAAGTTTTTAAGAAATGGTGTGAATATTTTTTTTATCTGTAAAAACAAGTATTGAATTTAAAATTTAGGTCAAAATAACCGACGAATCAAATGTAAAACAACAATAAAACTTATAAGAAATGTCAAAATCCGTTATTTTAATAAATATAAGGTTATGAACGGAATTTTGGATTTGGATTCTGTGTTTTGGTTGAATGTCTGAATCAATGCATTCAAAGGCAAGTCAAGGGAATAAGTATTTCATTTTTTCGTTATTTGGCATCACTTCTGCACAACTGATTCAATATTAAGGGACAGACAATCGATGCCATCGACAAATATGAAGGACGAAGAACCACATGAAGCACTTGTTTAATAGTTTGCGACCAAAACTTATATTTAGTTTTTCTTATATTAAATATATTGAGACATAAACTTGTGCTCACATTATATCAGCGATAGGTTTGTAACACAAAAAATATTACACAATATATTACATAATAGAAGAGCGAAAAATGATGAAAACTATGGCCAAGACTTCGCCCAACCATTAGTTTTAGTTATTTTCAACTCTCT